CTCACACAAAGCAGCTCAATACCTGGAATCTTCTTACCCACGCAAATAGCAGTCAGAGGGCAGCCATGAGGGTCCCACTGCCCCTGCTTGTTCAAGGCCCCTCTGCTACATGACCTTCTCAGACATCTCAGGCTGGAGGCGGAGGTGAAGAGGGCTCGGTCCCCTCCCCAGGAGGTTGCGGACCCAGCCTCCTCTGAGTTGTCCGGGCCCTGGGCTGGCTGGGTCGGGATGAATGAAGCAGACTCATTTACTGGGATACTCATCAGCCACTCACCCACCCTTCAAGGACAGCAGCCTGCCATACCCTGGCCATCCTTCGACCTGCAGTGCTGGGCACCGTAGGCAGGTGCGTTGGGTGACTCATGGTCGGTAGGATTCAATCAGGTAGCAGAGTCAAGTCTGGCAATAGATACTGCAGGAAAGTATATTTGTTAAAGCTTTGGTCAGTAAACTTGTTCCGTCAGTATCCACAAAGTAAATAGTTTCAACTTCTAGGGTCCCACCGTCTCCGTCCCTGATACTCACTCTGCCACTGCAGTGTGACGGCAGCCTCACACAGTGCATAGGCACGTGGACCTGTGTTCCAATAAAACCGGATGTACGAAAAACAGGCCATGACTGGATTCCACCCATGGGCTACGGTTTGTTGACCTCGGTTAGGGCAACTTCAGCTGCTGCCATAAACAAACCTGAGTATGTACAGGTAGACATAAATTTAGGTTTCATGCAGGAGAAATTCCAAACTGGGCTGAGGGTGTAGCTCCAGGGTAGAGCGCTTGTCTAGCACGCATGAGGCACTGGGATCCATCCCCAGCACCACAGAAAAGAAGGGAAGGAAGGAAGGAAAGAAGGAAGGATGGACTTCCTAACAGGTGTCTAAATCTTCAGATAGTACCAAATTTAGTTTTTGTTATTAGAAACTACCGTGAAGCTTTAAATTTTTTTTAAAATATTACATTAAAAGATATACTCACTCACTCCATCCACTTTCTGAAGCAGTTCTTGAGTCCTCCTTTGTTAGCGTCATTGCAAGGTATGATCAAAAATACAGTGAGTGTAGGTGCCATATGCCATCCAGGGGAAAGGTGGGCTCCTAAAACGCCAAGGTGTGTCCTTAGTCACCAGATCTGGCACTGCGTGACTTCTGGCTTTTCCCCAAAGTCAAAATAATCATAAAGGTAAATGTTCTGAATTGATTTAGGACATTGAGGTAGCCACAATAGTGCACCTAAAGACCCACAAGAAAGATGAATTCCAGAACTACTTCAGAAAATGGCAAAGACACTAGGATCAGTGTGTTCAGAGCAAGGCAAATGAACTGCAATGTGTCTTTTACTGTAATAAAGCTGTTAATTTAAACATTCACTATGTTTTCATCATACCCAGTGTATATAGAATTTTTTTCCCTAAGCATACATACCTATGATAAAGTTTAACTTATAAATGATTATTGTTAAGAGATTAGAAACAATAGCTAATAATAAAATTGAACAGTAAAGTACATTAAAGTTATATGCCTGTTCTCTCTCTTTCTCTCTGTCTCTGTCTCAAAATACCTAGGGATAGGGTGCTTCCCTTCTTCTAGTGATGAGGCGGGATGATATGGTGCCTGTGTGCTGAGGTGACAGAGGGAAACAAATCAGGCATGTGACATAGCACTAAGCTGCTTTGGGCCTTCTGACCATTTACAACACGAGGACCACCTGCTTCAGGTGCAGCTGGATCATGTATGTCGGATGGGTAGCATACCCAGTGTGGATACATTGGACAAACTACGTTTCCTGTCCTGGCGGTTTGGAAGGGAACCACATGAGATTTGGCCATGCTATTCAGAAAAGTGCACTCTCAACTGTATATTTCTGCAATTTCCTATTTAATATGTTTGGACTGGAGCTGGTGTCTTAGTTACTTTCTCATTGCTAGGACAAGGTACTGACACCCGTAGGTTAAGAGAGGAAAGGTTTCTTTAGCTCACACGTCATAGAGGTTTCAGTCCGTAGTTATCTGGCTCTAAGGCAGGGTGGCACGGCAGAGGGGCATCGCAGAGGAGAAACAGTCCATGGCAGGGAAGGCAGGAAGCAGCAGCAGCGAGCCTCCCTTCCCTTTCATCCTATCCAGGCTATAAGCCTATGGGTTGGTGCCACCCACACCCAGGTAGAGCCTTCCCATTATCCACACCCAAAACTATGATAAACCCATCAGTGGAATGAGTTGGTTATCACACACCCCTAATCCAATTCACACACTCTAGATCCAGCTACCTCTGAAAAGCCCCACCTATGACCACATGAGGCTTTAGCGGGGGACATCTAGATACAAGCCATAGCAGCTGGGTAACTGAAATTTCAGAAAGGAAAATGTCAAGTAAAAGGGGTACTTCTGTACCAGGCATATTTATAAAGCAGAGAAGAAACATTTGAGGCTGGAGATCAGTCCCTGAAAGCTCTCGGACAAAGAAGGTGGAGAGAGCAGGGTGCGGGTTGAGCTCCAGGGATTTGTGAGCAGCCCCGGGTGGGAAGGCTTCATTGCTAAGACAAAGAAGCCAGAGAGGAGCGGAAGTACTAGACTTGCACCACAGAAACTTGACTCCTGGGGTTGTCCAGAGGAGGAAGACTGAGAGATTGGACGCAGGAGAAGCAGAGTTCTCCCCAGTGTCTTTCCAAGAAGCTGCAGGAGGGCAGCCCACGGGGGCAGCTCTGGGTGGCGTTTGTTGGGCACACAGCTCACCGACTGAGGGCTGCAGGCATGCAGGTTTTGAGTGATGATTGCCTGGGGGCTGGGGAGCTTCACAGAGCCCAGAAAACTGAGGGGAGCAGGTTTGGGAGTGCGGGCAAGTTTTCTGCACACGCCCAGCTGCAGGTGTCTGTAGTGACCTGCCAAGGGGCGGTGCCTGTGGGACATCCAGGTGATGGAAGGGTGCTGGGAATCAGCGTGCCCAGGGAGCGGTGCTGATCCCGGAAACCGTTCTCAGCCTGGGCCAGCAGGATGTGGTGTGCCTGCCTGTCCCCCAGCTGACCTTTGCTCCGCGGAGCTGTCTGGAGAAGCTAGACCCGGCACAGTGAGAGACATGTCACGATTTACACCGGAGAATATTGATTCCAAACAGGTGGAGACTCTGAACGGGGAGGACAGGCAGGAGGAAGACCTTGATGCCCATCCATCAGGGGCCATGCAGCCATGAGACCAGATGTTGCTGCACAAAAAATGCAAAGAATTTCATAATTCATCCTGCAGACCAGAAGGGCCTGTGAAGGTCGGGGCCGGCAGCAGAAGGCTCGGGTCAGACAGGAACTCTCAGGCAGGGGGTGTGGAAGGCGGCTGTCTGTTTCCAATCGATAACAGGCAGTGCGGGACACACGCCACCCCACGCCGGCCCAGCGGGCAAGCGCACTGCACAGAAAAGCAGCAACATCCGCACCCACAGGTGCCTCCATCAGGCTCGGGGACCCAGCCACCCTCAACACCCCTTTGGGGGCACTTAAGGGCCGGAGGCCCAGGAGCAGGACACCAGCGCAGAGTGATGGGCCGGCCAGGGTTGAGGGCCATCGTCACCCCACCCCAGCACAGGGCTGCTCCCCTATGGCCCGGAGAGAAGGAGGAATTTACCCGCCCCAGCTGCACACAGTGGAACTTGTCGGACTCCAACACTGCCCCAGGAACCAGGGTTGAGGGAGCCAGTATCTCTACGGTGCTTAGAGAGTGGGGGACCGACAGACTGAAGGAGAATTGAGATGTGTGATGTGCACGTACCAACTCCCCACCGTGAAGGGAGTCATCATGGACTGCAAACGTGGACAACTAAAAGTAAAATTAATAAAACAAAAAGACAGTGGGGATCTGATAAAGGAGCCCACGGGGGGTCTTGAGAGCACAGGTTGATGCTGGCTGGCTGGACTGTCCAGGGGTCACACCATGACTGTGACAGAGGGGCTAGGTCTTGGGCACAGCAGTGTCACATTAGTCCTCCAGAAACACCAGTCCCACCATGCGCTGTGGCCACCTGTCCTGTAAACACAAGGTCTCTGGGCTGGATTGGCCTGGGACACCCAAGGAAGAGCAGGGAGCGTGGGACGGGAATCCCAGTCGGCCCAAGTCAGCCCTCTGAAAGAGATTTCGCTCGAAGCCCCCAGCCCACCCCTGCATAAGCTCACCCACCCCGCTCAGGGACACAGCAGACGTGCTGGTTGCTCTCCGCAGATGGCGGCCAACCAGGACCTCCGCAGGGACAAGGCTTGAAGCATGCTTCTCCCCCGGAAGTGGCCACAGCAGGGGGTCTGCCATCGAGTCCCCAAGAGCAGCAATGAAGACAGCCAGTGGGCCAGGGGGAGGGACAAGCGAATGACCATCTAGCAGCCAGGAAGGCCATCTCTGCTGGTGGACCCCAGCTTCTTCGGGAAGGATCTGCCTGCCGTGGGCCCAGCGGGTGGCAGGTGCCTGACAAGTGTGTGGGGGCGGGGGGTGGAAGGGGCAGAATCACGCCAGGTCGGGAGGAGGAGAGAAGGGCCCAAGGCAAGGCCTTTGGTAGGAGGGAGACCCAGGCCCGAGAAGGGGCTCCAGGGAGGCCCACCTCCGTGGTCCTTAGGGAAAAGATTCCCTGCCCAAGCTCTCCATGGAACCTGCAGCCCCGGGACAGGGTCCCCCACAGGACTCAAAGCCCCTGTTCTTGGCCAGCCTGGGCCTCCGTGGACACAGAGACCCCCAATGCTGAGGACCATTCGTGGAGAAGGGGTAGCCAGGCTCTCAGGATCTTCAGGGCCGGGCCGTGGGCGAGTGGGGTGGGCTGCACGCTGGCAGATGGAGGCGAGGCTTCCTCCCCCGCTGCCCCCACAGGCCACCTCCTCCCATCCCGCGTGGCTGGCCCAAGCGAGGGAGCCAAGAGACCAGCAGCGTCCTGACTGCCGGGAGCAGTGACTCAGCCGCCATCTGTTATCTAATGAGAAGATGACAAGCCAATTGGCGGCTTTCCCCCTCCCTTTAATATGGCAAATCAAAAAATGTGACTTTCTTGATCTCTGTTTTAATGATTCTGACTTGCTGTATCCTCTTTCTTTTGATTCTGCTGTAGATAAAGCTGCTGCTTGCCCCAGACCCCTTGCTGGAGATTCTGTCGGTCTCGTTTTGAGGGTCTGGGTCCTTTGTTGATGGGGTGAATGTGGACTCTGCCAGGGTTGTTCTCCCACTCACTGCCATGGCCAGGGGTCAGCTTGAGGCCAGGGTTTATTCCTTGAATGACAAAGAAATAGGGTCTCACAAAACCCCCCAAACTCCAAATTTCCAGCCTGCTTCAGAGAGAACAGGCCGCAGTGGCGAGTGACAAGCTGGCCTTACAGGACAGCGAAGCCAGAGACTGCACCAGCCCAGCCCTCGGGCTCTCGGAGGCCTGGTGGGTGCCTGAGGCTGGGCACTGTCACTTGGGGTTCTGCCAGGCAGATTTCTAGTGGTTTGGATGAGACAGGATGGCCTTGGGAACAGCCCTGCCTCACCTCGCAGGACTTGAATGACCTTGTGGGTGGAGCTGGCTCTTAGTGCAGGCCAGTGGCCAGGAAGGAGGACAGAGGCCACCTGCCCCGCACACCCCAAGGAATGAACTCATCTAGACCTGCAGGTCTCGAGCTACTGCTTGGGCAGGAAGCCCAGGGGCGCCTGCCACACACACACCATAAGGACCAGCCCTATACAGTGGGGCCAGGAGCTGGGGTGCTGCTCGGCCGGTCAGCGGACGAGCCCCGTGAGCCAGAGGACGCCTGGCCTGACCACGCTTGAGTGAGGAGTCCAGGACACAGATTCCCAGGGCTCTGGGATCTCTTCTGTCGTAGCTTCAAGCTCAGGGGGCCACATAGGATGGCAAGAAGAACAGGAATGTGACAGTGGAACAACCCAGGGTCTGAATCTGCTATCAGCATGGGGAGCTTCTGAGACTCAGTTTCCCCATCTGTTCGGTAGGGCAGAGAAGCCCATTCGCCACCAGCATGGAGCAAAACTAAGCAAATGGGAAGTCGAGGGGGGGCACGTCTCGGGCTGTCAGCTTCTCCCGGAGGTGACGGATGCCCCCGAGTGCCCCGTGCTGCCCTCCCCGCCTCCGCACTGAGCCCACCCCAAGCGGGCCGCCCCTTCTCTGCCTGGACAGAGGGCCTGGGGGCTGGGATGTGGCCACGTGCTCCGCCTCGGCCCAAAGCCCCGCTCACGTGACCATCAGCAGTGGATTGATAAAATTAAGCACAGATGGCTACTTTGTTGTTGTTCCTTGAACTGACAGCTGCTGGTGTAAAAATAAATTAAATTAAATTTCACATAAGTCAGACTTTTTTGTATTTTTTAAAAATGATCTAAGTTTCTCTGTGTTGTTTTCCTTAAATTGTTTTCTTTCTTTTTAACATACGGAGGCAGAGAAAACTCCAGGGCAGTAGAAACACGAATGACAAGGACAGCTTCACTTTGACTCCAGGATTGAGGGGGTGTCCCACCCCTCCTTCCTGCAACCCCACATCCCGCCAGGTCCTGAAGACCGTAGAGCCGCAAGGGCACAACCTCAGCGGCGCCCAGAGGATGCAGCCCTGGGCATGGATCTGGGTGGCCATCCGGTACCGTGTGACTCAGTAAGCACTTCGCCTCTCCGTGCCTCCTCTCCTGGTCTGCAAGAAGTGCTGGGGCTGGGGTCTGGTCTGGGCTTGGCCTTGCACTCCGTAGTTCAGTGACTAGGGGCACCTTTCAGCAAGGCAAGGATCGTCCTGAAGACTAAATGCGTGACAGGAAATCCCAGGCCCACCTGCTCTCGAAACACCAACCCACTCCACCCACCTCCCTTCCCCCATCCTCACCCACTCCCTGGGCCCCTGGCTGGGCCCTGGGCACAATCATTTGCATACAGAGAAGGAGGAGGCCTGCAGGGGCGTTGGTGGGCAGCTTGGATCTGTCCACCCCCCACCCTCTGTCCCTAGAAACCCCTTCCTTCCTTCCCCGAGGCTGTGCTGGGGCAGCCACAGTCCTCCCGCGAGCGTGAGCATTGAGCCAGGGCAGCCAGCCCTGCGCACGACACATCTCCTGCCGGGTGGAAGTAGACAGTCCAGAGAGAGGAAGTGGGGCTGGCCAGCAAAGGGACGGCGAGGGACAGAGAGATCCACTGCTTCCCTTTTTTCTGCAGCCCTGCCACATCCTAGCCGGCCGGCAGCTCAACGGCTCACCTGGGTGTGGCCTCCTTCTTTGCCAACGCTGGCTTCCAGCTCTCGCTGTGACCAAACTGCTCTGTGAGTCGCTCCATGACCAGTGGAGGACAGATACCCACTCCCGCCACAGCGGCACAGAGAATGCAAAGGAATTCAGAGGAGGAGGAGGAGGAGGAGGAGGGAGGTAGAGCAGGCGCTGGACGCTCCAGAGAGGCAGGCCATCTGTGGGGGAGTAGCCAGGCTGGCTGGAGGAGGGGGCCCTGGACCTGAGACAGAGGGGTGGGAGGTTGGGACTGCGGGTGCGGGAGGGGGCTCCGTGCAGAAGGAGCGGTGTGAGCCGGAGGGGGGAACGCTGGAGAACCTGTCCCGAGTCCCTGAGACAGGACAGCAGGGACGGAGGCTCAGAGACAGGCAGGTGGACCGCAGAGGGGCACGGGTGTGGCTGCGGCCGGTGGTGGCCGGAGTGCTGGCTTCCTAATGGCCGCCTGGGCCGGGCTCAGCCTCAGGATCTGCGAGGACAAACGGTCCAGGTGCTCCCCAAGCACTAGGCCAAGGGGACGGAGTTGGCACGTGGTGGCAAACCTACTGGGCATCCCTGGAGCGACGGCAACCTCCAGTGCACAGCTTGACTTAGTCTCCGTGATGATCCTTGCACCGAGTGAAGATGCCGCCGCTTCTACCCACACATCCAGTGAAGGGCTAGGTGTTCCCACTCTCCACACACCCTGTCACTGCTGGCTTCCGGGAAGGACCAGGGACGTGGCGGCAGGGGCACCCCTCAGAGGCTACCGCGCTAAGCTGAGGGCAAGAGAGCTATGAAGAGGCCACGTGGGAGGGGAGGGGGACTGGGGGGCTCGGTATCTGGAAGAGATCAAGGAAGAGGCGAAATTAAGGCAGAGCCCAAGTTGGCACATGGGCCCGGAGCGGGCTTGGGTGGATGGCAGTGCTGTGTTTCCCTGCGCCCCCTGCACAAGCCGCCTTTCCAAGCCTGCCCTGGGTTGTGCTGGAGCCCCACACCTCCGCAGAGGCCTCTCCCCGCCTCCCCAGCTGAGGGTCCCAGGGCAGCCCAGCGATGTCAGCTCACAAACTCACACAGCACCCGAGGTTGGGAAGGAGTGCGAGTTTCCCAGCAGACAGGTCCGCCCACCCCAAGACACACCTTGACAGGAAGCTAAAGGTGGTTTCCAAACCACAGGGCCTTCTCCCCACTGTTCTGGAAGGTCGAGGTGCCGGTGGGTTCAGTGTCCGGTGAGTGCCGCTTCCTGGTTCACTGTGGTCGTCTTTTCACCGCATCTGCGTATGGCGGACAGGACAGAGCAGCTCTCTGGGCTTCTGCTGGGCTCTGATCCCATTCCTGAGAGCTCTGACCCATCGGCTCCCGAAGGCTCCACCTCCTGACAGCTTCGCCGTGGGGCTGCATTCTAAGCATGCAGTTCCGGGGGGTGCACACGGTCAGTCCACACCTGCACCCATGAAACCGGCAGATGCCAAGACCAGTAGCTTTGAAGTTCATTTTCCAAGTGGGTGACCCCCTCCCAAGTTCCATTTCTCCCACTGCTGTGTGTGGAATTACACTCCCTCTCTCCCTTGTGCGGGCTGCGAGGATCCTCAAGAACGCCCTGTCTGCAGGAAAGTCTGAGGCTGGGCAAAGGGGGACCATCAGGACTCTTGAGTCCCAAGGATAGAAAGCCAGAAGGGGTTTGGAAAGCCACTTGAGAGAGACACGGACCCGGTCAATCCCAAACACAGGCTCCTCGGGTGACCACGGGACAGAGGCGCTAAGACCCAAAGCTGCAGCCCGAGGCTGGGGAAGTTTGCTCTCTGCCAAGCTTAGCCTGGAGAAGAGGGGTGCGGGCTTCCTACCTTGTGCCTCACGCGAGCCTCAGTACCCCACGTCCCCCACCGGATGTTGAGTGGGAGGTACGGTCACCAGGCCCACCCCCAGGAGGACGCAGGGCTCTGAACAGACTGCCCAGCCATGCCAAGGAGCAGGGCGAGCCGGAGCCCTTCCAGAGGACCAGAGCTCCAGGCGCGGAGCTGCACCCCAGGCGGGGCCCAAGATGACCAGGACCACAGGACGGTGATGAGATATGGCCACGCTTGCATTCAGTTTGTGCAGCGGCTCCTGCTCGTTTTACTTCAAACAGGAAACAGCAGTTGGTCCTGTTGAAGATGAAAGACCTATTCCTACACCCCACCCCTGACCTGTCCCAGCAAGGTGACCCCCGTGTCCAAAGTACAGGTGACAATTCCGGGCCTGGACAGTGTCCGACCCTCCCCTCCACTCCATGCCTCCCAACCAGTTCCACCTGAGGGGGACCCCGGAGAGCACTGAGACTACAAGTCAGAGGACCGGGGTTCCCTGCCCCACCCTGTCACTTCGTGACCAAGAGGCCTTCCAGCACTCACTCTACGCCGCGGTCACCCGACAGGCCTGGCCGGCCCCGCACCGGCCCACACAGTAGCCACATGAGCTTGTTGAGCATTTGAAAGGCTGTAATGCTTGGGAGGAACTGAAAAAAATCTACATTTGAATTTTATTTAACTTTAATTAGTTTTAATTTAATAGCTACATGTGGCTGATAGCTACCATGCTGGCAGGAAGCTTCAAATTCTAAGCCTTTCTTCTCTAATCCATAAACTATGAATCCCTACCTCTCGGAGAATAAAAAATAATAATAATAATTTGGAGGATAAAGTAACAGTGCTACTAATAATAACTGGACATACAGAAACTTCATAAACTAATTCCTGGCCAAGAAATACACAGCTCTCCGCACAGCAACCTGGTGTATTCCTCGCATCGTATCAGGTCCTGGCGGCATCCCAGGCGCTGAGCTGGAGTCTGCGGGGACTGAGTGGAGGGAGAGACGGTCTCTGTGCTCGTGGACCCGAAGTGCCGCAGGAGAAACAGAGGCTGAAGACATGATCGCCCCAGCAAGTGTCACCACTGTGATCCACACGACCAAGGGAAAGGAGTCAGCCCGGTGAGAGGCAGTGCCCGGGCTCCTGTTCTGTGAGTTACAGCTGCGCCTGTCAGTACAGGTGACTCCAGGTAGACTCCATGGGCAGGGCCTTTTCCTGCCCAGTGACATTAGCTGTAGCCCAGAGCCTCCAGAGGTGGAGCGGCTTGGGCCCACCTTGGAGGCCCCTCCTTGGTGGAGAACCCAGCTCCTGCCTCTGATCCCTTGCTCAGCAGGGACTGTGCCCAACGGGCGTTTTCCACCAGAGCTGATTCATGTGTCCGGCTGCTTGCAGATGTGGTGCTGTTATTTTCTCATAAAGAATGCAGGCGAACGGAGGGAGGGAGCGGAAACTAGAAAGAGCTGGGGACCTTGGGTTCTACTCTCAGCCCTGCCTGTCTCTCAGACCCAGGCTGAGCACGCCGTTTGCCTCTCCTGACTTCTGCTTCCCGGTTCATAAAAAAAATGGAAGTTGAACTAGGTAAGCTTTCTGGTCTGTAATAGCAATGACTTTCCCCAGTTCCGAACAAAATATTTAAAGCAGCAAGGGTGACGACAGTGACATGCAGTCATGGCAGCCACCATCTCAGGAGTGTCTACTTATTGTCAGACACCAAGCCAAAAGCACGACGTGGATGTTTTAGTTCCCACCAGCAGTGAGGAGATCTGGACCTTCCTTCCTCAGCTGCTGAGCCCAAGGCCCAGAGGGGAAGAGCCAGGCCCGCCCATGACAGGACAGTGCCTGGAACCCCAAATCTCAGACTCTTCCAGGATTCAGTCACAGGGGAGGACGGAAGCACCTTCTCACCTGCCAAAGACTCTCCCTATAAACATCACGGTCAGGTTGAGCTCTCACCCTCTGAATAGCTCACCACAGGGATTCAAGTGAGTTTCAGGGGCAAACCACATTCCAAAGCCCCAGCATGTGGTCAGTGAGTGAGGGACAGCTGACAGAAACCTGGCTCAGAGAAGAACAGGAAGAGGCTCCTGGCCCTTGTGACAGGGTCTTGGCTGGTCTGGGCAGGCCCCTGGTACAGAAAGAAGCACTAGGCGAGACAGACACCTACAGTGGCAGCCTTGGCCAATGCACCTTGGTTCTCTAAGTCTATTCCCCACCCCTTAAAAATGGAGGTGATAACTGCCCCACTCCACTAGAGGGGGCAGCAGAGGCCCAGCTGACCCAGGGAAGAAGCCCGGGGCATAGCTCAGCATGCGCGATGGTACACGACCAGGGACAGCCTCAGAGACCAAAGTGTCAGGTGTCCAGGTGCCCTCAAGGTTCAGAAGTCCTGATCAGGACAGGGCCACCCTACTGCCAAAAGATCAGGCCCTGGTGGAGGGAGTCTGGGATGGGGATCGAGGCCTCCCCAAGGGGCCGATCCTCAGGGCAAGACCCCAGCCACACGGCCATGAGAAGCTGGCGGCTGCCCATCCCAGTAGCGCCAAGCAAAGAAGATTTCAAGTAAATTAAAAACAAGCATGTGTGTTTCTCTCTGGCCCATCTGTGTCAGTTTCTCGAAGCACCAGCTCTTGGAGTGGGGTAGGGGGGACACAGGCAGAAGAAGAGCGGCTCTTGGAGAAGCTGGAAAAATTAGCAATTAGGAGGGAAAATTGCAATGAGAAAATGAGCCTTAATAGGGCAAACACAGTACTGCTGTGGCTTTTTTCTTGCTCTCTCACCGCAAACAAGTGATGACTTCATGTCTGGGTTTCTCTGCTTCCCTGCAGCAGAGCCAACTGGGAAAGAGCTAGAGGAAAATGTCTCCATTGTCCCTAGATGGTGTCCCTGGTATCCAGGAAAGAGAAGGCCCATGTAGCTGGGAGGAGCAGCAGACTCGCATCAGCCACTGTCTGTGGCCGTGGCCGCCGGCCCCGCACCCGACACCCACACCCTTCATTCGTCAGGGTACACGGGGCTGCGCTGCAGTAACAACCCCGAACGCTCAGTGGCTTAACATCACCAAAATGCATTTCCTGCTCACACTATATATTCAGGCCAGGTTGGCAGAGGAGCCCGGCTCATCACCACCCTTGGTAGACCTGAAGTAGCCCGAGAGCCCACATGGATCTAAGACTCCATGGTTGTCCCCATGTGGGTAGGACAGACACAGTGAACTTCTCACTGTCTTCTAAGACTCTCGCTCAGAACGGTCATGC